TAGGAAGGCCTGGAGGAATGTTGTCCATGGGTAGCGATGGGTTGGACACGATTTTGCAACTAACAACAACAACAATAGGGGAGATTTTTAAAAACATTCGTCTGCTAAATGAAACGGGAAAAAAACTAAAAATACCATCGTCATCTAAACACATACTCAAATCAATTAAAAGTATATACTTTCATTTTTGTTCAATGTAAGATTCAATTTATAACCAATTAATTAATCCTAGACCATATAGAATCATACTGCTTTTCTTTTGTTGCAAAGCTAATTCAAAGGCTAATGTTTATCAGTTCAGGGAAACAAGTATTTTTAAACAATATATGATCAGTTTTTATGCACAGTCCAAGTTCATTATATCCAAAGTTTATCATAGATTGAATGATTACAAATTTCTGAGATATAATTTAACAAACCAATAACTTTAATTCTAAACTAGTTTTGGAGAACTTGATTCACCATAGGAACAAGTGTCTAATAACTAAGGCATTATTATTTGTCAGACTCATAACGCATGTACAAAGGTTCCTGCAAATTTATTACATCTGTGACACACAAAAGAAAGAAAGCCAACATTTCAAAATTTCTAGGCTTTTAAAACCAGTAGACTTAGATTAGGCATGTAGGGTCCAAATTTGGGTGGAATTATTTTTGTTAAAATAAATAGTTAGTTTAGGTTTAGTCAAGCATGTCTCTAACACATTCAACATCACTGGAGTTATTGAGGGGCCAAAGAATTAATACAAATGTTTTAGCTATGTTCCATTCAGTTTTTTTCAGGTAAATTGTATTCCTTTTCTAAAATCTGAAAAGTTTTAGAAATACCATTATTCAACAGCTGAATATGAGGACGATAATTTCCTTTCTTAGTTCATGTTAAAAAGACATTACCAGCCATTTTAAATAAGAATTTCACCAATGTGTTAATTTCTCATGAGAGAAAATATCAAATTTAATTTTCTGTTCAATAATGATCAGATATATCTAACTGATTTCAATGCTGGGAAAGTAATTGAATTCCTACTGTGATTAGAACAAAGCACTTGGCAAGACTGTAATTATTCTCAAGATAAGCTCACAATGGTAAGAGTTCAATATTTTTGCATTCCCATACAAGATTGTGAATGTGCATCTGGAGAAGCAGTGGGGAAGAATGGCATTACAGAACTTCCCCAAGGCTCAGATTAAGAGACTGTGCAATCCTGAGCTGGATGGAGTAGGGTGAAAAGATTCAGGATAGCTACATCCTAGAATCTCTCAGGATATATATTGTAATTAGGAGGTTATAATTTTAGTTTGGAAAGATTCTGCCAATTTGGGTAAGCAAATGACAGATTGAACTCAACTGGATTTTGCTGTCGTCTCTGGGTTTGGGCTTAACGATGATTTAAAAATATGCTGTATATCTTTAAAGTTAGGAAACTTGAAACTTTTAATAGTGTAGTATAGACATACAGTATCTTTAATAAAGAACATTGTGTATTTTACTACTTTCATAAAACTTAGTCATTAAATTAATGTGTAGATAGGTTTAAAATATCCAAGTGGAATCACCAAAAGCCTTGTTCCTAGAAATACATTGTAAATTTTGATGAAAAAAGGCATTTTTCAATCTTCACTCTTCTGTACAAACTTAAAGTATTTTTAGTTACATTGTAATATTGTCTTTCACCTGGATAACACTAATATATTCTTATTGATTAAACTAGTTATTTCCTGATGATACTTAGTACATTTAATAGTTTCTGGGTAACAGAAAAAAACCTGAAATTGTTCCTTGTAGGTGTTTGGAAACTTCTTGGTATAATATTTGATTTAATCCAAATATAATTTCAACAAATGTAGGTAAAAGTTTTAATAGTCATAAAAAAATTCAATACAGTACATCACCTGATTATAGGTGTATTCAAATTCAGCTAAACAAATTGGTTTGATTTTGATGAATGTCTTTTATTAGGCATGCTAGGGATTGCAACATCACATTAAAAATTAAAATCAGACAGAGACTTTGTTGATAGGTTCTATATTGTATTTGAATTACTGGTGAAATAATACATTTATTTTGCACAAATGTCATTCACTATACCTGCTCATAGTTTTCTTGCAATTCTTCCTAGTGCCCACTTCTTTCATATATAACTTTATATATTTTTCTCAAATTCATTTTTTTGCAGCAATTATTATTTTAAATGCATTTATATCCATAGTTTATTTCCTTTCATCTTCCTGTTAACTGTCTTTTTAAATATCTCATTAGCACAATGGCAATAACTTTTATTGGACTCCTTAAATAAAAAAATAATACTGTGTTTCTAGCAGCTTCCATATTGTCATTCATCAGTAATTCAATTTACATGTATTAATTTAAATCAATGTACATGTGTTTGCATATATTCACTGATTGAATTCCACAAAATAAAATCACCTCCATTCAGATTTATTTATCTTTCTGGGTTTTTTAGTTTCACAGATACAGAACATATCTTTTTCATTCTCTCCTTTCGTTCAATAATTGAAGTTTTCTTTAAGCATTTACCCGTTTTACATTCCATGTAACCATCTACATCCATCAGTAGCCATCTTTTATAGCTATCATCATTTTCTAAATGGACCATACTGTATGTGCTGACCTTTGCAACTCCTCATGGCTTTGGTTATCAGGACATATCACATATTGCTTTTTAACAAAGCAGAAGTTGGGACAGGTTACTCTTCCTAGCTTTATGCATGTAATACACAATGTTCCCTGCTAAAGGTAAGGACAATTTTAATATAACTAACCAACATTCCCTAAGCATAACCAAACCCAGTTTTGCCATAAGAATGCTTACATTATCCTATGCAAGTGAAGCAAATCTATTTATCTGCCAGCTATCATGTTAATACACAGTTGTCAAACTTGCAACATCATGTGATGTGTCGCGAACTATCGTGACTTTTTTCCCACTGCTGGCAATGGGGTGGGTGTGGTTTTGGCAGTTTGACACCCCTGTGGTAATATAATAATAATAATAATAATAATAATAATAATAATAATAATAATAATAATAATAATAATAATAATAATAATAATACTACAGATGGAAGGGACCTTGGAGGTCATCTAGTCCAACCCCCTGCTCAGGCAGGTAACCCTATACCATTTTGGACAAATGGCTGTCCAGTTTCTTCTTAAAAACTTCCAGTGTTGGAGCGTTCACCGCTTCTGGAGGCAGGTTGTTCCACTGGTTAATTGTTCTAACTGTCAGGAAGTTTCTCCTTAGTTCTAGGTTGCTTCTCTCTTTGGTTAGTTTCTATCCATTGCTTCTTGTCCTGCCTTCAGGTGCTTTGGAAAATAGCTTGACTCCCTCTTCTTTTTGGCGGCCCCTGAGATATTGGATCACTGCTATCATATTCCCCTTCGTCCTTCTCTTCATTAAACTAGATACTGTATACCCAATTCCAGCAACCGTTCCTTATATGTTTTAGCCTCCAGTCCCCTAATCATCTTTGTTGCTCTTCTCTGTACTCTTTCTAGAGTCTCAACATCTTTTTTTACATCGTGGTGACCAAAACTGGATGCAGTATTCCAAGTGTGGCCTTACCAAGACATTGTAAAGTGGTATTAACACTTCACGTGATCTTGATTCTATCCCTCTGTTAATGCAGCCTAGCACTGTGTTGGCTTTTTTGGCAGCTGCAGCACACTGCTGGCTCATATTTAAATGGTTGTCCACTAGATGGTTGTCCGAGATCCCTCTCACAGTTACTATTCTAATACTCTGATGAATAAGTTCATTTTGGATAGAGAAATATAAGATACGATGACAATGGAAGCAGTTTGAAATTTTATTTGGTAGAAGAACTAAAACCACTGAAATTTGATATCAGTACTATTTTTAAGTATTTACTCTTATTCCCATTTGCAAAGCAACAAAGCAAAGCAAACAAAAACCTTTATGAGCAAGTTCTTGCTTCTCATTAGTCAAAGTGAAATCCAATGATAAAACTCTCATTTTATAAATTCCAAAATAGCTTTAAAGACAAAGGCACCTATATTTTAATTTTATATCTATTATTTGTCCTATGAATAATATTCACAATCATATTATTGCCAATTGCATGTAATTAGAATAAATGTCAGAAGCTTGCTAAATTTTGATGCTCACTGGTAACTTTTACAAAGCTAATCCTGTCATCCTCATTTCAATCATTTATCTAGAAATGGTGACATCTACTCAATCCCAGCTGCTGAAAACAGTTTTCATTAATCAATCAATCCTAGCATGCATCCCTCACTGCCAAAGAAGCAAGTTACTGATTAATTTCAAAAGTAGTTTATCTGTTCAGCAGTTTGGAACCTTGGCTTGTTTAAGCAATTCCTCTGATAAGTATATAAACAGCTGTCAGCTATGTGTTAAGTTCTGGACTAAGCAAATTCTGAACATTCCTCTGGCTTAATCTTCACAAAAATAATTTAGCTATATTTTTCTATATACAGATAAAAATAAAATACAAGAGTCTTTCCTGGATTTTATGTTATGTATATATTAAAATATGGAACAATTTATTTTTATGTGATATATTAAATATTGCTTGATTTTATGGAAACTAAACAAAATTCCAAAGAAAACATTATTGATCAAAATTTGATACTGCATTTGGGAAGTCTAACACAGGACTCTCCAAACTTTTTGTTTTGGGAGCCTGGTGGGAGAGGGAGGAGTAGATGCCTCACGCACGTGTGCAAACATGAATGTGGCCACACGTGTGGGCACACGTACAAACAGGCTGCAAGCATGCTCATCATGTAAATGGGCTGCAAGCATGTGTGCTAGGCTCTCAGTGATGATGGCGCCTGTGTGAGGCTTGTGGCACCGCCGCCTCCAGGCTTACAGCGATACCACCAGCGAGAGGATCACGCTGAGGCCTGCAGTGATATCATCCCCAATGCGAGGCTCTTGCCGGGGCCCACAGCAATACCGCCCCCAGTGTGAGGCTCATGCCGCCCCTGTGCAAGGATCACACCATGGCCCACAGCAATGCTGGTCCCGGCACAAGGATTGCACCGCCACCCCGCTGTGGCCCATAGGTTGGGGACCTCTGGTTTAACATATATAGTATGTGCCCTCTAACTCCTTTAGAAACCATCACTTTAACTAAAAGGTTTCTGGAAATATGAAGGAGTATTTAAATTAAAAATTCTCTTGAAGTAGAAACTAAGTATATCTATGTAAGAATTAGTAAACAGAAAATTGCCTTTCTCTAAAAAAAAAAAAAACAAATGAAGAAACAAACTGCTTCAAATGGTCTACTGCTGTCAGGAACATTGTACTCATTAACCCAATATTCACTTGGTGATAAAGATGTCAGAAAGTTAAAAAAAAGCCAAAGAAATTTTACCCTTTCCATTCTAATACCCTGATTATGAGGATTGTTGAGACTGTAGTGAATGATCAGTGACCTTGCTAAGATTTACCAATTGCACAGTTTATGTGAAAAAAGATTATTTAGGCTTCTGGTAGAAGCATTGACATCTTAAAGGCAGGAAATAAAGAGGAATTTTGAGCCATGTTCAGTAATAAACATACACGTTACCTTGCAAACTTTTTAGACAACCATGCTTAGCAGACATTGTTATTAAAATGTAACAATTATGTTTTCATTTGAATTTTTTTAAAACTTCTATTAAACTGTGAACTTACAGTAAATATCAAAGGGAGAGGTATTTTTTTTTTTAAACAGAACTCAGGTACACTATAATTACATTCATTGCAGTTTGGAGACAGAACACTCCTTTTGTCCTTAAAGCAAGACTCTGAGCTTTACTTACCTACAATTGCTGGCATCACTGAAGTGCCAACACGAAATTTATAGCAGAAAAAGAGATTTCAATTAAAGTAATAGACATATTAAATCCTCTTTCAATTGATTTTCAGAGGTTAAGTGGATCAAGGATTTTTTAAATTTACTGCTATCAAAGACAGCTCTTCTTCTGTTTCATTCCTGAGGCTATTATGGCGAGTGTCATTTTGTTATGCTTATTTTTTAATGAAATCTAATCCATAGTTCTATCAAATATTTTTCCCTGATTACTAAGTAAAGGAAGAAATCATCAATAAGTAATTGCCATGCTCTTCATTTTGGGATATTGTCAGGCTAGAACTAACATATGAACTAATTTCTTTTGAAGGTATGTTTTGGGATAAGAGTAGAATATTCTAAGTTTTTCTCTCTGAAATGTCTATAAGGATTCAATCTCTGTATGTATTTAATGGACTGACTCTATTTACCATAAAACACAATTCGACTGGATGTGAGACCTTATGGAGATGCAAAATGGTGACATGATTACAATATAACTAATCCTACTACTACTTAGGAGGAAAGGAAAAAGGCAAAGCAAAATAATACAAGCTGATCTGGTGAATATTACTTTAATCAAATAACTTTTGACCTCCCAAATAAATTGAGTGAAATTGTATCTTTCAGTTACAATTGTATCTCTCGTCACAAAACATTTTGAGAATATTAGCAAGTTTTTGCACACAATTTTCATTTACTGTAGGTAATGAATTAATTGGGTGCCCCTAGCCCAGGGGTAGGCAACCTCGGCTCTTTTATGACTCATAGACTTCAACTCCCAGAATTCCTAAGTCAGCATAGCTGGGAGTTGAAGTCCATGAGTCATAAAAGAGCCGAGGTTGCCCACCCCTGCCCTAGCCAATCTTGTCTTTAAAAGCTAAATATATTGGCCCGGTTAATATTTTCATAGAATTGTTCTAGGAAATATCAGACATATAAGCAATTGTGACTGAGAGGTAAAAAAAATGGAAGGTAAACCCAAGAAACCTATATTGATATGTCCATGAAGTTACCAGAAGCTGAACTTAGCTTGAGATAGACTGACTGTAGCATAATCTAGCTATC